CTTCTTCGGGCCTGGTCGATGTGACCGGTGTTTCATTTCCCTTTTCGATTTTTGTGCTACCATCAGTCGTCATGCCGTTTACTTTGCCTTTATTGTGCTTTTCTAAGATCTTATTTAACTCTTCTTTGAAAATAGCATCTGAATCCATCAAATGCAATCCTCCATCTGTCATTTGACTTCTCGAACCTTCCTCTGTCGTTGGACTACGGCGGTGATGTACTGTCAGGTCTTCTTCATTTGCATGACTTCCACCATTAACCCTGCCTGGTATATCGCTTGAAGTTACAGTAAAATGATCTGTATTTGTACTCGTGCTAGTAGAAGTTACTTTAGGCTTATCGATCCTGGTTTTAGGCGAACGGATTGACGGTGTATTGGTGACAACTGCAAAAAACTCTGCTTCATTGTCATCAATTTTACCATAAATTTGAGCCATTGATCCAGTTGACGAAGCGACTGAAACCGGACGACTATTGTTAAATGCTGCACTAACAGATGAATGACGTGTATTAATAATTTGACCTTTGTCAACATTCACGGATACCTGCTGTTTTGTTTGTTGTCGATCAGTGTATGAATATTCATCTAGTGATGTTGAAGCCCTTCGGTCGTTCCACTGGTGCTGCTGGTCATGCAAGTTTCCTGTCGATGAATTTTTTATAAACTCTGATGACGAGGATATTTTTCGATTTTAGCAGAGGAAAATTATCTTTCTGATAGGTAGTTTAGTTTCTTGCTTAATAGTTGTCTTTGTGTATGCATGTGTATTAAACACTACTTTCTTTCTTGTTCGATATGCTTCATTAGTCTCTTACGCTTTCGCTCTCTTGCGTTTTCTCCCTTGTTTTTTCAAAGAAACAATGCTCATTCAAGTACTATTTAAACCTCTTTTTGCATGTATTTCTACTCTCCCTCCCTCCGCAATTCTACCTCAAAGCCCGTGTGCAAGCTAAAATACGAGAGTATTGATTCTCAAACATTTCTCTCCCTCGAGTAATTATGTAATACTTAACGGCCTCCAAGCAACAGTCAGACGATAAACATGGTATGACTCAATAATAAAAAATTCAGCGAGTTAGCTTGAACATAACGAATAAACGTTTTTCCAGCTAAACCCAACGAACACCGGCAGTTAAGGAAAGTTTTAATTTCAGGACTTTCGCATGTATAATTGTGTAGCACAGACATTGCTACAAGAAGTAGAGAGGAGTTCTTCGATTGCGGAGTAAATCGAAAAATTTTAAAAATGAGAGTAAATATCTGATTTGTGTAAACTACGCGAAAAAACGACAAAACTATTGTCCCTAAGACTGAAAATAAGCAGAGCTCGAGTGCCTAATAGACTCCTCATTACGAGAGCATCAAAATGAGATTTTAAAAAGTCAAATTTTCCAAGTCATCCGTTTAGTAAAAATTCAGTTTTGCTTTTGAAACTTTGAAAAGTAGATGATTCGACGCAGTTTTATCTGCTTTATCAAACGAGACGTTGCTGAATTTCCGGATACGAAATGACAGAGAGAAATGAAAAATATAGAAGACGTCACTTTTTGACGGTTTTTTAAAAAATCCGTAACTCAGAGCGAAAACATCTGGAAGTCTAACAATTTTTCATGCGAACTAAGTTACAAATATCTTTTTTATTCTGTGCCATCCGCTAGAGTTAGTCCGAAGTCTGCCATCTGAACTACGATGAATATTCTTAACTATGTCTGTCAGGAGTACTCTTACCCGACATTTTTAGAAAAAGTCAGAACCTTCGTTAAAAAAAGCCTACCGGTTGAAAATCTTATGATTCTTGTATTTCTTTTGTTAAATTCATCATAGATTTGAAGTCATCGTCGAAGAATATCCGTTGAAGTATATGAGCTGTCGACTCCATAGGCTGATAGAATGTGAGGTGACTGAAAGTGCTTGCTATTTGACAAGGGTTGTATTATGTGGAGATTCAACAGCGGTGCTGTAGGGATAAACTGAAAGTATTCTTTTAATTGATCATCAAAGGAATTTGTTTGATAATAGTTAGAAGTACGAAAACCGCCAACAAGTTGTGTAGCGAAACCGATAAAAGGATCGGAATGGCTATTGCCACTTTCTGAGAATCATTTGATGTGGTCTTAGAAACTGAATAGATAAGGTAAACTTATTTTTTTAATTTTGTGCGAGTTTCTTTTTTGACTTTCCACGTCTGCTGGATAGAAATCTTAAATGACCCAAGTAGCACTATATTTCACTATTTTGGGTGGTTTTTACTTTCGAAAACAAACAAGCTTGAGATCGACGTGCTGAAACGTTATTGACTAGTCAACTGAAAACTGCTTGTGAAGCAAACTATAACTTTTATTCTCTTTTTATTTTGATTTCATTCTAGTGGAAACAATTGCAGCTGGTTTTCTTAAAGCAAATTAAACTTTATTTTCACATTAGAATGATAGTCTTGATCTTTTTGTTCTTCTTTTTATTTGTTTTTGATTAATAGTTGTGACTATTCTAGTCAAAAAATAAAAACTTGTGTATGCTCTATATTTCTTGCAGAAATCGTAATTGTGTAGAATATCTTTAAGCCACATATGAAAAACGAAGCCATACATAGATGAATATAACTTACTTTTGCAAAAACTTATTATCAACAATTTTCTATACCTTCTAAAGACCGCTAGTGTAAATTTGAATTAAATTTGTTGAACAACTGATGAATGTGAACATTTTGGATTTAATTGTTTCAGATGTTCATCAAATTTCTTTCGACATAACTGTATTAAATATTGTACATTACTATGTATACCACCTTTAACAATACAGCTATTATTATCTCATCTAAATGTAATTCGACTTCTTATATTAGCTATTTCTTGACAATCAACATTTAATACATCAAAAACATCATCTATATTTAACCCAGGCAAACTTTTTCTGCGAAAAAAACGCGTTAGAGCGCGTTTAAATTTTCATACAAACTAACGTGTTTAGCAGGATGTTTTTTGTAACATTCCGGGCGTTCAAACGCGTTTCACAGCGTCGGTAAGCAGCGCATTAGAGAGTGTTATATTTTAACATAGTGTTATATTTGTTTGAACGCCCGGAATGTGGCAAAAAACGTCCTGCCAAACGCATTGCTATGTAACGCGTTTCTGTAGGTTAGGTTTAGACGTGGTAGAACGCATTACAGAACAACACGTTTAGCAGGACGTTTTTTGTCACATTTCAGACGTCCAAACGCGTTACTAATCAACGCGTTTCACAACGTCGGTAAGCAGCGCGTTATATTTTAACGCGTCTGAACGTCCGGAATGTGACAAAAAACGTCCTGCTAAACGCGTTGTTATGTAACGCGTTAAAGCGTGTTAAAAAGGAACGCAACACAACTCGTTAAAACTTGATGCGTTGAACATTGAATTGGATTGGTGTTTTGGTTAAAACGTGTGAAAAATCAGCTATACATAGTCAAAGTGAAAAGATTAATCGATGCCTTTGATAACATAAGTAATTGATCAAAAGAAGAGTAATCGGTTTTTTTCGCCGAATATTAACAGACTTCATCACATGTATGAAACATGATCATAGCCTCATTGGTATCCTCTCGATTCGTTCCTAATTGGCTTTGTAAGATCAAACAATATCAAATATGATATATAAAGTGATAGTGAGCAATTATTGACGAATCGAGATTAAACCACTTCATTTTAAAAAAAATGGACACTGATAAGTTGTCATCTACACCCAGACAAGCTGGTACCGGCCGGTATCAGTATTGCATTTACGCCCCTGCTTCTTTTGTCTCTCTGCTGCCTTTCTTTTAATTGTCAGGATTTACGCTCGCGAAATTTTTGTGAGTCGGATTATTCTTAAGGAGTTTAAGATGGCAACTGCCTTTTTTACAACCAACCTTCTCTCTTGGATTTTATCAGTTGGCAATACTTGTTGTGCAAAATTCTAGTATTTTTTAGACAATTCAGTTTTTTAAGTAGAAAGTTACTACCTGCAGCTGGCCAATATTTTTGGAACTAAATTGATTTATTTTTAGATGCACCCAGGTCGAAGCTCTGGTAATAAAAAAAAAATTACATGTCGGATTAAGAAATGAACACGAAGTAAATATGCTGATTGATCAAACAACATAGCACTCTGTTCATTATCATTGTTAAAGATTATCACATCTTGTTCTCCGTAAAGGATGAACAAGAAAAACTTTTGTGTTTTTTGCTGAACTTTGTTATCATTTTTGGTTCTTTCGCTTCTTTCCTCCTGTGTTTTTGCTCTGATTCAGGTAAAAAAGAGCGGTAGAAGACAACATAATTGTTTCTTTATCTTCGTTTACAAACTGAGCGCAATTGTATTGATCCATTTTTGATTATTTTCATGAAAAATTAAAAAATTCATAACTCAGTCAAAATCCATCCAACCTACTTCAGAATGTCGTTATACACTCCATTTAATCCGCTCATGCTGATTTTGTACTTAAAATCATTAAAAAGACATTCTCTACGTCTGATTGCATACAAACTGAGTGGGCGACTCTGCGTCGTATGTGAACGAAACACAGGAAATCGCTTTAGGATCCGAAATCCTACGTAATCTTACTAAAGGAACGCATGTGTTTTTTATTGTAGGATAGTGTGATATTCCTTATAGGATTCTATCATCTGAGTCCTATATTAGTATACACTAGGAAACCTATAAAATGCTGTGAATTCTTCACCGCAAGACAAATCATATAAAAAGTTCCGAAAAGAAACAGAAGCAGTAGTCACACAAATAGAAGACGACAAAAATGAAGCAAACATGTGTTTGCAGAGTATGGCATTGATCTAGTTGAAATACTACACCAGGGTAAGTGCGACTTTACACGAAATGCTTTCACTATGTTTCAAAAACCAATCATATCAGTTAATATAGAACATATTCCAGTTCTAGTCGATCAATGTTAATCAATGAATTTGAGGAGCCTAGTGATGATTTTAAAATGAATGGAAAGAAAAATGGCTAAAAATCAATTAGATATTGATTATGGTGTACAGATACAACAATAGCAGTTTATGCTCACATGCAACAGCTGCGACAAGCTTTAGAAGGTATTCTATCAAAATAATCTTCCGTTGAGTTAAACCTTCCGTTCAACAAACTGATCATGCTGTCGATGCAGTTGGTTTAAAGCAAAAAATTAGCAATTTCATTAATCAATTGGTTGAAACCGGCGAAGTTCCAAAATGTATTGAAGGAAAAAACAACAACATCTTACATCAATGAAAGAAACATTAAAGCGATTAAAAGATCTAAATGCCAAAGAATGGCATATAATATGTATTTCTGGATTAGAAAAATGTGGAAAATCAACTTATATCAATGTACTTCTTGACGATGGCATTCCACTAGCTGCTGCTGAACGTTGTACACAAATTTGTACAGTTCTCAAACCGCTTGTGAGAGATGACTTAGATTTATTTACAATTGTTAGATTTTATGATGATCAGGGATTTGAACGTTATTTTGGACAAATAACAAGAAAACCCGATGAACAAGAAGATGAATATCAATCAAGACAAAGAAAAAGTGCAAGAAAAACGTAAAGAATTAGTTGTAGAACATCCGAATGGAGAAGAATGTTTTAAATTAAATGATGTGAACAACGCCGAGATTGAAGTTCGGAAGTAAATCATTGAAATATTGCATGAATATATCAAGGAGAATTATACGTTAATATTGTTAAGAAATATCAATATATATAAATAAACTACCGGATATAATATAAACTCTCCTCTTGAAAAATCTCATCAAAACTGAACCTCTGGGTGTATATCATATCACCGGAACAAAAAAACAAAGCTGATTTTCAGTTGCTGAAAAGTGCTTTTTCGCATTCAGCATACTCGATAATCTCGAAGATTTTCTATTTTGGCGAAGAGTACTTCCAAAAGTTCACGAAAAACTTTGGAGCAAAATAGCGGAAAAAAATTTCGTCTGAAAATAATATTAGTTTGAGAACTTTTCCTTAACGTTTTGAAGTACCCTCTGCCAAAAATAGAAAATCTTCTGGGTTATCGAGTATGCTGAACACGAAAAAGCACTTTTCAGCAACTCAGAACCAACTGTATTTTTTTCCTTTATTTTTTTGGTATGTATAAACTGTAAATTCGCCATTAATGAGTCGTTTATTTCTTATTAATTTCTATCTCTTTATAGGTAAAAATTATGAATTATTGGATGTTCCTGGTTTTGATTCTTCTATCAAAGAACATCGAGGAGTTGCTTTTAAAGTTATACAATCGGTTGATGCATTTTTATATGTTACTGATGGCCAACGTCCAAGTTTACAAAACGATCAAATTATTCTATTAAATGAAATTCAACATGATCGAAAATCATTATGATCCAACGTAACGTGCATTTGCTATTATTACAAGAGTCGATTTATGCCAAACAGAAGAAAAATATCGTGAACAATTACTACATTATCAATTTAAAAAAGAAAATATCTTTGCTGTTTGTTCGACGCTTCAGTTATTAAATCATGATTTGAAAATAATATACGAGAGTTGGGCTGAAATGAATTAAAAAATAGATTTCAAGAAAGTAAGAATGCTCTAAATGAATTTATAGAATATGAATTACTAGAAACACATATGAAACAATTCACTGACTTAGCTTCAACTAAACTTCTGAAATATGTTAAAGAAACTTTAGACACGGCAGATCATTTATTACCATTTGATTTTAAAGACCTGTCATTTGAAAATTATAGCAAGAAACTGAAAACAAAAATGTGGGATCGAACTTATCCAGAACAACGTTATCAACTCACATATGACAAGGCTAATTTATGGCGGAGAACAATATTGATAATGTATTGTTCACAATTTTTTGACAATAGTAAAAAAACATTTCGTGATCGTTTTCTTGAATTAACAGAGGAATTTGCTCAACAATTGCCTCCGATTAAAGAGCGTACACTTAAACTAGCTGATACTAACGCATTGCATCTTAATACACATTCTGTTGATGATCAACTACGGAAAAATTTAACTTCTAATTTTCTAAAAATTGTTAATAAAACGTCAAATGACTTAGCCCAACATTTATACCAAAAATATATATATGAAATGGAAGTGGTATTAAATAAAATTTGTCCTGAAGAAAATAATTTATTTCGTACTAAAAAATTACATTAGAAAAATGTAAAAATGAAGCAAACGCACTAGTAATGCGTATTTGTGGTCCAGCGATAACAGCAACAATATGATACCCGCATATACATATTAAAGTTAGACAAGACGCAATTAATCAGTTACTTTGTGTTGCACCACTATTTGCCGATAAACTGTGTGATAAACATAACAATGAAAACGTAGTAGAAAAGGCACACCAATACTAATTAATAGGATCATGTCATTACTAAAAAAAACTGATATGATTAATATTCAAGTTATAACACAGTTCTTTAAAAAATAATTAATTACTACATTTTATTATTACTTAAAAATGTATGATGCTGTTCGAGTTCATTGAAATTCATAGTTCTGACATACAACAATAAATAACCGTTTTTAAAAATATTCTTGGATAGCGAACCATTTAGATCGCGTAGTAATATATAAAATACTTCTTGATGCAGTAGCATGGAGTGAAACTTTCTGAAGCTTCTCCAATTCAGCGATTTAGAAAACGAATGTTTACGCTCAAAGCTAAGTATTAATTGAAATCGACGTGGGCCAAAGTATCACATTTGCATCTCCAGAAGTGGTAGTTTCGGAGTTCGAGTAGGATTATTATAGGAATGAACGTACGTTCTGCTGTGTGATTCAGCTATGTGGTGTAAATCATCTGCTTTAGAAGCAAAGCTCATTCATAAAATGCTGTGCAAATGAACGAACGTTTCTCATTTATTCAAACTGAGCATGTCATCATTTTTGATAGACAAGAAAATAAATAGCAGATGATTTTTGATTTAGTAGCGTTTTCTTGCCTCCAAAGTTTTCAAAAACACTTGTATTCAATGCAGCTTTTGTGCCGATACTGGTTTTTGAAAAAGTGTTGTTTTTACGGATGAAAATGCGTTTCACCGTTAATTTCTTTTTCTCTTGACACTAGAAAATACTGTACTGTCTCTACCAAAATGAGTTTATAATCATCTAACAGCGATATCTAAACTCAGAATCAGTTGCTTTATCCGGCTATATTAGAAAACTCTTATAGAAATGTTTTAAGTAGGACGAAATTACAGTAAAAATTGATGGAATTTTTATAAATCTCTCTTTATCTTTTCTCGTGTAACTTAATGAAACGCGATTCAAAATCCAAAATTTGGCGATATATTTAACTTTTTATGCTCTGTCGGGCTAGTTTATTTTCATTGTTAGAAAGGTTGTAGGGTACAATTAAAAATACTATCTTATTTTTGATATTTTCATGGTGGTTATTGTATAACTCATGGAAAAACGCATCTTTTTCATAGGAAACTGTTAGCGTATATACAGTTTAAGATTGGACCTTATTTGGGTTGTAGGGTTGTTAGCCGTGGTTTCTTTCGATAAACTAACTTTGATCTCCCTAAGCACTGAGGGTAGTAGAGGTGGGACTTAAGTGGAGGAACTAGTAGAAGTTGGAATTAACCCCTCCCATTAAGAAACCTATCTCTGAAACTTTAAGTCTGATTTTGAGCAGACTTTTAGAAGATGCTGATCTTATGAAAGTATGATGACGACATTTTTTGTTCGGCTCCATCTAGCATGGTTTGTGAGTTGTCACCACAACAGTGATCAAAATGGGGCTATTCGTAGCTGCAGGATTTCTCAGTAACGAAACGTTGTGGAGAGCTTGCGCTGGTCTTAAGCTGACGAAACCACATCTGGCTGGAGTAATAGAATCGGATTTTTGTTATTTTACTTTTCAAATTAATGGTTAGCATCAAAAGTCTAGAAAATGAATAAGTCTCATGAACTTTCATGAAGATTTTACTGAGAAATCTTGCAGCTGCGACATAGTGTTAAGGTGAAAGTCGATTTCGAGATATGGTGGCGATAGTATCTAATGCATGTTTTAGGGCTTCCAGCAAAAGTCTCATAACTCTTGATCAGAAAATCATTCAAAGCTGGGAGATATCTCATTTTGATCAGATATGTTGGCTCTATTTCCTGCGTTACTGAAAGAATTTTGAATTTGTTTTTTTATCGGAAAGTAAAATCTTTTTACTTAGAAAAGTCTTAAGGACTTCTTAATATATAAAGTTCGCAGAATAGAAATGTCCTTAAGGCTTTTGAGACCTAGTTTTTCAATAATCCAGTTTTCCGGCAGAATTTGTTTTTGTCAAAATGATTTTCTCATGTGTACAGGTTGTAGACGAAAGTGATTTGTCATCTGGAAACGTTACCTCGTTAGTCTACTTTCTACTGTTTCACAGATTGAAATTTTCTCAAAAACGTCGGTTTTATCTGTCGTTTGTATTTTAACATGTGCTTAATCCATCCATACTTTTCCAGATAAAGGATGGTATGATGGTCAAAGACTTCGTTTTATAATATAATACACGAAAAAACGAATTTTCCCGAAATGAAATTTGATGTTTTTAGGCAAATCCCGTTGAATTTCGTGTTCGAGCAAATGTTGAATTAGTAGTGAAATTGAAAGACTATCACAAAGCATATCTCTCTTGTACAAGTTTCATTGGTCCATTTCGTCAATATCAAAGAACAAAAATTATCGACGATAAGAACCGTTCTACATTATGGGAGATTTTAGCACTATGCATTATAGTTCAATGTTCGATTCAATCTATTTACCCAATGATTGTAGAAGATACTGATAAAGTAGGAGTGTCAGATCTTCCAGAATAAAATATTTCATTCATTCTTAACAACTACTTTGACAAAGTCACCAATCAACAATCACTCCAATGTGACTCATACAGCTGAAGAGGATACTGTACGTGTAATTAGTTATAGTATGTGGGTGCTAAATAATTTTGTTCCACTAGTTTCTCGTTATGACACCAAATCATCGTTTACGATTGAACGGCATCTATCACTGGTTAGGTGCTTAAAAACTTAATTAATCCTCACATTATATAAAATTTTGTAGCGTATTTTAGACCAAAAGAAATAAGTTATCATCACACGTACAAGTAAGAGAATCAAAAGTAGAAGTGTGGAAAGTAAGGATGATGCATTAAACTTTGTTCAATTTAGGCATAAAACTTGTTTTCGTTTAATTAGAGCTAGAAGCTCATACCCAAAACGAAAATCTTCCAATCCTGTACAGTCAGATGACATAGTGGACATGCTTCAAGTTCAATTTTTTTTTGGAATGAATGAAGTCAATGGAAAAACATTGATTTTTTTAAGTAAAATAATTCCAAACTGAAATCAAGCTTTCAGTCAAACGAAAAATTATCATCTTCTTCATCATTATTCATTTCAGATTTTGTGGGCTATTAAGATGGTTTTAAATTGTATTTTTTCTTCAGACTCTCTTAAAAACAAGTTAAAAAAACGGAACAGAAAAAGAATTAGAACATCAACATTTGCACCATCTAACGTAAATATTGTATTTATTTTTATACAAATCAAGATTGAATATATATTTCCTGTATCTTTCACATGCCGGCAAAACGTTCATGTTTTCCAAGTGATATTTTTTTTCTGGTGTTGAAAAAATATCACTTGGAAAACGAAAAAAAAATTCAATCTTCCCACTCATGTTTCTTTAATAATTGGAAGACCAAATCCCAATAGTTTCATTTATGAAGTGTAAAATTTTTGGACATTGACTTTCGGTATTTTTTTGAAATATCCTATTTTTGCTGAATTGATATTGCTGAATTTTCTCATTGAAAAAAAAAACAAAAAGCTCCAACTTTTTTATCATCTGGCTAAAAATACGAAAAACTGCCTGTTTTTGTCCAGTTTTGCTTGTCTCTGACTTCTGAAAAAATTCCTTTCACACGAGGCACTCAAAATCATTTTAAACCAAGAACATTTAACGCTACAGTAATATTTGGTCTATCTGTGACGAAAATTTCAGCCCGATGCAAAAAGGCCTTCGAAACGCCTTTCGAGGTAGAAAATTTATATCTCATTGGCAAAGTTTGAACTAATTTAAAAGTTAAAAAACAATATTGTTCAAATTTTAAATTACACTTTACCAGTTGATATTTTTAAGAGTCAGGATGACTTCACTTTGAAGAGGACATCAAAATACTTTCAAGAATTTTTTGTTTACTTTCTACTTAACACTATCGTTACTAGGATAGTGTAAAACCTTGAGAGACCTTTTTTTTTCTTTTTATAGCGCAGACTTGTGTTGGACTCAAACGTAACAGGCATCGCAAAGGTTGTGGCTTTATGAATATTTTTTTAATATTTTGACTGATGTATGTTTCAGTAGTGACATACTTAAACGTTGGTTTTTTGCAAAATTGAATCATCTAAATTTTTGTTTTGTTTTCATCCTCTCTTACTGCTAAACTAGATCTCTGAGATCGCATAAAAGCACAAGAACTTCTAAATGAGGTATGTTAGTATTTAAACTGTGACGATGAATTTGAGATGGTTGAGCATTATCATTTAAAGTTCCTGCTTGACAAATTTGAATATATTACTAAGTATTGAACATATCTACTATACGTTTTCCCGAATTGGGATAACAAGATTACGTATTATTATTTATTTATTTAGTAAAGTTGAGTTTACATGCAGGTAGAAAGAAAACAAACTTAACAAGCATTGCGACAAAAGAGAAGTAAATTAATACATCTCTTGTAAAGGTGTCCAACCTATATGAATTTATGTATACAATATGTAAACGTGAATGATGTATACCTTTACTTTTTACCATATGTTCGATCAGTGGTAGCTAAATAACAAACAAATACGAATGTAAGGATCACTTAACACATACTTAATTCAAATTTATTTTCGAACAAATAATTCAGACGTACCGACTGTGTAACGATTCCTTCAATAATTAGCACAGGAACTTCAGCGTTTGGATTCATTTTTGTCAATTCATCGTTTAGCAAGTGGACTGTTTCATACTTATCAGAATATTTTTCGGTGGCAGTGCAACATCCACACGATATAAACAAGAAGGTTGATAATATGAATATAGGACAGGCTTAAAGAAAGACAGACCACGTTCTTTTAAACGTGCATTAAAGAAACATCTTGTTTCGTATAGTAAGCCATATTCAATTCTACTATACCATTTTCTCTATTGTTCAAACTTCTTTTCTATTTTTTCCCTTTTACTGGGGATGGCTTAGACAAGTTCTTTGTTGAACCTTTTTCATCACCTTGTCATTTTATTAAGATCATGGACTAAAATAAAATTGAATTTGAGCTAGACGTTCCTTCGACCTTGCTTAATACTAAACTGGCAGAACACCATCAAATCACACTGATTTTTCCATTTCTGTAAAAAAATTCTATTATAACCTTCATCTCGGCTCTCTCATTCTAAAGTGAACCGATTCGAATATATGGTATCATCGTGAAACTGACAAGGGGTGTAATATTCAGGATTATTTATTTTCTAGGAGAACAATCAACAAGTTAAGTCTGCAGAAGAGTTGAATTCACCCCGTTTACGGCTTATCTAACTGTGCTAACTTTCGTAAGTTTCTGAGATATTCAGCGGTTAGAACAAAATTATTGAACTTCTACTTGCTTTTTGATTATTATTGTAGATTGTGTAACGAAAATGAATATATTCCACTAAACAATCGATGCTGTGCTAGTATGGCTGAAAGCATTTATTAATGATGAATGTATACCCAAAAATTCAAAGGTAGATCAACAATTTTATGACAAAGATATAACTGGAATTTATGAAAGATACTTATAAATAGGAAAAAAGATGACTGTGAATATGAACGGTCACTAAGAGGTTATGTTCCTGAAGATTAAATGGCACGACACTTCGATGCAGAAATTCACACGAGTATAATAGTGCGCTACACCGACATGAAAAATCCTCTCAGAAACACTTTAAGGGACTTTCGTAAACCTTTATTCGTTCAGTGTGGTTTCAGTTTATCGAACGCTTTAAGGATATTAACAAAATTTTTTTGCATAGGGTTTTGCCAAAAACCAAGTAAGGATTTGCTGTACGAAGCTGAAATTTTTACTGTAGTAATAACTCACGAGCACATATCTTTCGTGAAAATTTCGTATTAATCGTTAAAATAAAGTTGTCAAACCTTATTAAACAGGATTGACTAGGGACTAAACTGAAAAACTCTAAGAAATTCCATCATCTTTATCTTAACACATAAAAAAATATGAGTCAAAGTCTTATCAGTGCTAAAATTTTCATTGAAATTGACCTTAGCAAATTGGGTTTATAAACGATATAAAGTTCGATTGATGACCGGATATTTACTGCGAAAATGAGGCAAAACTTGAATCTCTTCACTGTAAATAATTTTTTCGAGAATTCTTTTTTATGAATGAGTTACGCTGAATCCCCTGCGAAGAAGAGAGATACAATAACTAAAAAGCTAACGCGACATTTTCTCGGAAAAAATTAATACCATCGGAGTTCTCATAGTACATAGTATATAGTCCAAGCTTGTTTGAAATATTATCTCTTCTGTTAAAAACTGCAATTATTATTTCTTATCTTATGGCGGTTTATAAAGACAAGAACTGACTTTTTCAGTAGAAAATCCGTACACACAGATAAAAGTCGTTTAATTCTAGAAAATACTATTCATCTTTTACCAAACTCGTAATTTATTTTTATTGGATATTCTTCCGTGTTTCATCTGGAGCAAAAGATGTAACGCTTCGAAACCAGAAGAGACTAGTTAGCTGGTAGCTTTCACCCGAGTTGTCAGTAAAACACTACTTTTTGTTGCTCATGGTCATATTCGGAATCAGCATGGTCAATAACCCAGTATCCACTAGTTTTCGTTCGGAAAGCGATTGAACACTTGGGGACTTTCCCTCGTTAGGCCTTCAGTGATCATTTTCCTGGAGAAAATATGTGCATGGTTGCACGGCCTTGGATTTATACTGCCTACTGTTTTTGAACGATGTGTTTTTTTAAATAAATTCCTTCAGTTAGTGTTATTACTCTGTGCACTGTTCTTAAAGCCGACTATTTATCTTTTTATAACATGAACCATTAATTCTACTAATATGAAATCTAATCTAGAAGGTCATTGTCCTAAAATACTTTTACTTTTCAACACCGTTATTAAATTCTCATTTTTTATACTATACATAAAATGGATAGGGCCGCGAAAGAGCAAGTCTCATAATATCATCCAAAGGAAGGCTGCTACACGGTAAGAACACGTCTTTCCTAAATAAGAAACTTTTCCAGTTGAGAACAGCCACGAAGACATTTTTATTTTACAAATCTAATAAAATCACATTTGTGCACAAAAATAATAAACGATAAACAGCAACGTTCAAAACACGTAGTTTATCTTTTTCTATTGTCATCTAACTCATTGATCGATTTTTTGCTGCTTCAGCAGCTTTCATTATTGATGTATCTGATAATGTACCTATAAATTCAACTCCTGTTGTTTGATCATAATCAATAATACGTGTTTGTCGTCGTTGTGCACTCAGTATCAATAGACTAGCAGCACACAGAAGAAGAAGAATACTGGCAATTAAAATGACAGCTGTTAAACCACTAAAATCACTATTATTAATAGCAGCTTGTGATGCTGATTTTTGAGTTGAAGTCACTACTGTTATATTCGCTTGTGCCAATTGAGTAGCCATTGCTACAAAGTAAAAGAATGAGCGGATAGACTGAGGCACTCCTCCATCGAGCCTTGCTTACCGACAATACCACATCCAGGTAACCATTGTGGAGCATACCAAACAAATCGATGTTGTGTATCACAAACATATTCAGCATAAATCCATGCTATTCCAATATAAATAGATAATATAATAAATATAATTAATAAAAGAATCCGATTTGCTAAAATGAAGAAATGAACATTGCACAATAACAGATGCGCATTAGTATTACTACTACATACAAACTTTCTTTGGCTGTGGTTTAACTGACATTTTAAATTGTTCTAGAAATGTCATCTTTAAGTTCTAGAATGAAGTCGAAAAATTCTTTATAGTTTACAAGTAAACCTGAACTCTTAATTTGTCGAGAGCGAGAAGTAGTGGGCCGAACAACTTCTCGCATACGCCTTTTTAATTAGTTGTTCTACTCTAATTAATTTCTGAACTGCAGGCTTCTTCTTATTATATGCGCAAGAGAACGAAAAATGCGCACCGCATTCTGACGGTTGGCCTTGTGTTTTTATGGACACTCACATATATTTGTACGATTTTCTAGCCAACTTTTCTCAAAGATTACAGCGCGTATTTTCGTGGTTCCAACGGGATCAGCAAGGTCTAGTTGGGAATGTCCTCTTATCAGCATTCTGATATCTTCACGTCGCATGTCACAAGTCCCGAAAGTACATCACTTTTCTTGAACTTAGAAAATTTTTCAACAGATAGTTGTGGGAATGTATAGACGTGTTACTCACTGCAGAGCAACCAGCCCGTAGAAAATGCGCTCAGTTGATATTCTTTTTGTTGATAATTCATTCGGTTTCATTATATTAAAATAAACTCATCAGACTTTGATGCTCATTGCTGCCGAATGGCGGTTGATAGAGTGAAGTATCTATCCCAGTTTCGCACCGCATTCCTAATTCTGGCTCAACCTAATTGTCATCTAGTTTCGTGTGTGCACACAACACTCTTGCAGTAGTTCTCCATGGAACGAAGAAAATGGAATATCCTTGAAAAGACCCATTTTATTCATCATTACACTCCTTACCTTGTACAATGTAATTTTAGTTGGAAGTGGTTTCTTTTCTTTTATTCAAAAAAAAGATTTATTCTATATTTGAGAATTTCTTTTTTTTTCATGTGAAGTTTATAGATTAAAAATGAAGGACATTAAATAAAAGTTTGCTTATGATAAAAAAGAAAAAAGAAAAAAGTAACTATCGATTGAGTGTTCGGTGTGGTATAAGTAAACTGTGGTTCAACTTAACGTTAACCATAAGTGTATGATGAATAGATTTACTTAGAAAAATTATGATGTTGAACAAAAGGTTCAGACAAAGATTCTGGCTAGTAAACGGTATCTACACAAGAATTCTTGGTGATAGTATATCTTGTTGTACCATACGTTAAAAAGAAAGTACTAAAAATCTCTTTCATAAATTTATAATTGTATTTAATGTTAAAAACTCCAACATGTATTAGCACTTTGAATATGTGATAAAATGAATTGCTCAAGTTTAGATATATCAATTTTAGGTTTGTTGTTTGCCGTAGGAACTGAGTAAACGTTAAAAATATATATTGGAGAACTGACGCATAAGAGAATAACATATAATGTTTCAATGTTAACTGTAGTAACATTATTATAATGTATTAGCTTAGTTAGTTGATCATAAAAGTGTTCATTTAAAATCATCAAGACACTATACAATTAATAGACATACTTAATAGTCAAATATCAACTTGACAAGTAAATTGTGACAAAACAAGAGAGACACAAAAACAAAGTGAAGATTTCATGTCATTGCACTCATCTTAAATACCTTCTTCTTCAACTTTTTCCGATCTTCTTAGTGTTAGTAATAACAGAGTACGCCATATTAATTCAGTTCGGAAATTTGTTAGTGAGGCTAAGCATGTGGTCTTCTGTCTACAAGAAAGTTTTTTTCAGTTCGAACATAACAAATATTGAGGTTCAGATAAATGATTACTTTCTATATCGACAGGAGCATAACAACACTTCATCTTCTTTCATCTCCTGCGCGCTCCTGTCGATATAAAAAGTAACCATTTACCTGAACCTAAGCATTTGTTATGTTCGAATTGAAAAAAGTTTCTTGTAGTTATAAATCTATAGGCTAGCCGCACTAACAAAATTCCGAGCTGAATCAACATGGTGTACAAGATTTTCTATGTTGTTACTAACATTAATAAGATCGGAAAAAGATAGAGAAGACGGTATTTAAGATGAGTGCAATAACATGGAATCTTCATTTTGTTTTTGTGTCTCTCTTGTTTTGTCATAATTCACTTGTCAAGTTGATATTTGACTATTAAACATGTCTATTAATTGTTCAGTGTCTTGGTGACTTTAAATGAACACCTTTATGATCAATTAATTTACGATCAAATTCTGAGTTAGTAGCAGTAATGGTGTTTTATCATTAATATATTGTTTCTGCACTAAATCATTGTATTTATGAATTTTATTTTGTTATCCTTGAAACATTATTATAGAGTTGTGGAATAGTACATGTATTTATTTTAGAGTATGGATGTTTTAAATGTGATGTTTCTATTGATTTATTTTCTTCTTTTAAAAGTCCCTTGACTCAGAGATTTCAACTCGCTTCCTTAACGAATTTACTGGCTGCTGAATAACTATTGGCGAATTTTACAATACCTGAATGAAAACATTTGGTAAACTCCTATTCTTGTTATAAAGTACTTATAACAGTTGAAAGCTACTGTCAAAAGCTTACTGCATCGAGGAGCAATTTCATTCCAGAAAAGCGCAGGAAACTCTGTTTACGAAAAATTTTATGCATTTAGCGAGTTTAGAATAATAACGCGCAAGAAGCTGCGAGTGTGTTAAATAAACCGCAGGAGACGCACGTTGCCGTGAAAATAGAGGCTTTACACACGTGTTCCTGCGGTTTATTTTTACACACTCGCAATTTTTGGGCGTAAAAATGATGCAACAATTCGCATTTTACCATTGTTTTGCGAATTCGTAGCGAACTCGTAATTCAATGCGAACTGATGCGAACTAACAAAAATGATCAAAACCGAACCAAAAAATTGCGTCTTTTCTTCCTTTTGCCAATTCGTAAATTAGGACGAATTCGTAAGAAAGAAATTTCCGGTAC